TGTGTAACTGAAACCATTTCGATCTAAAGTATGGTAAACGGTATTTAACCAAGATAAAATAAGTCACATTGTGGTGAATTATGCAGTCCATCTGACTATGATAAATTTATCTCTTTTCGATGAAACAAAAACGTTAGAGATAAAATACTGAGAAGATCGCTTATTCTACTACATTCGTAATCTATTTGTATCCAACAAATTTGATCTAATAATAGAAGACGAATCTGTTTGATATATATCGATGAATATAAAAACATTCTTCAAAAGATAATTTAGCTTGCCATTGAATTTTACTATAACGTATCATAAAGCTTGGTATAGATAAGTAAAGACAATGTACTTCTTATTGACGAAATATTAATAATTCTCAGAACCTTTTTAACATCCTATGCAATTTTGGTATTGAAGCATTTCAAGGGATGAAATTACCGGAAGTGAATGTTCTGTGCAGCAAGATTCAAAACAACTAGATTTTAAAAAAATATTTTCTTACTGTAACATGTGGAAAATGTTTACAAAATGTATTTTTTACGGCAAGTTCAAAATCAATGGTAATAGATTCAAGTCGAATCATATTTGATATTTCGATTATTTTCTTCATCAATGTTGAAAATAAATCATAGTATGTTGCTTCTGATTTATCACTAAGAAGTGCATACACAAATGGACTTGATAATGCTTCATCGAAGGCGTGTATACTATAGATCTGATAAAAGATTGAGGGGGATGTGTAAAACGTTCCATCAGCATACCAAAATTTTTGATATGCCAAATATTTAATATCATCTTCAGATGCGAATATCAAACCTCTTTTTCCACCTAAACACCCATCAAATAAAAGGAAATTTGCATTATTTTTAGTGAGTGTATATAGTATTGGTATTTGAGAAGGTAAATCTTTGATAGATTTTGGTAATGGTGGTCTAATTAGTCGACGTTGTTTACCAACAGTATTTTTTAATGTTTTTATTGTAGGAAATTTTACAATTGAATCAGTCATTTTCTCTTTAGTTATCATATTCGAATAACCAACTTCAACTATTGTATCAATTGTTGCTGAAGTACTTTGTGCCTCATGCTTTAATTTGTGTCGAAGTTCCAAGATTTTAATGTCATTTGGATCAATAAGATGATTATGATTTTCATTTATTCTTAATATAGTATTATTGTTTGAAATAGAAATACTTGCAGAACAATTGGATTAGATACATCTCCATAAAACTGAACTTAAATTTTTTTGTTTTACACAAAATCTTGCTCCATGAAAGATTAATTGCCGTTTACCATGAGTAGAATTAATGTATGATATATTTTCATCAACTAATTCTATTATTAAATAATAAAACGAACATATACAGAATCTTACTAAAAAAGTTGAAAGCAAAATATTTTCAAACATTTTTTAAAATAGGACATAATGAGTAGATAATGAGAATAGTGGTAATATGACATAAAAATACTTTATGTCGAAAAATATTGCTTAACCCATAAATAAAGAAGTGGAAAAAAACTTCAATATTTGTATTACGGCTTGATTAAACAGGCTCATTTTTATATCAAGGCTAGAGTTCTGTTCACAGTCCAAATCTATACGTATAAGGTTAATGAGAACCTTTGGTAAGTATCACTATTAACCTCAACAATAAACCTTTACTTTTTCACAAATTAGAGAAGAAAAAAATATACTTTACAAAAGTTCACACTAACCTGGTCTGTATGGATTTAGAATGTGAACAAGCTTCTAGTTTTAGTATAAAAAAGAGCCCGTTTCATCAACCTGTAATAGAGATATTCAATTTTTTTCCGTTTTATTACTCATGACCCACCCGGTATATTAAAAAAAGAATGGTATACAAAGAGTGCCTTATTATTGATAAAATTAAAAAAAAATCTTGCCTGATTGATTTATATTTACAGAAGACATATTGTATTAGTTTTCTGAAAAATGAATCAAGTCTTTATGTCTTTAAAGTAGATATATATTTTTACTTTGTTTTTATATTGGTAATGGATGAATAAATTCTAGTTCTTGAAATTTGTGTTGCCGAAATCAACAAATTTTTTTTTTCCTAAAACATGAAAAATTATATAAATAATAATGACTTTGCATTATCTGATAGAATTGTATAAATTGAATAGCTTATAAGATTTAAAAAACACGACACAAACACTCCTAAAGAACATATTCATCGTCTTGTACAAAAGCAATTAATCAATGGCGCTTTTGAGTATAAATTTTCTTTTAAATTCTTGTTTTTATCTTTCCAATGATATAATCAGATAAAATTAAATTCTAATAGTGTGATGAAAAGAAAAAAAGAATATTAAACTCTTTAGACATTTTATTGAGTTATTTTGTTTATACGATAAATTTTTCGTTCTATAAATAAAATTTGTGTTTGTTCTTTCTTTCGTGTACTGTATTATTAAATAAATGAAATGACATTTTTTTTAATGCTATGATTATGCATGTAAAACAGAAAGAAAGTATCGTATCTATTTAAATATTTGCTTTTCTTTAGATCTCACAAATTGTTGTATAATTCATTGACTTTCGCTCCTGTTTCACAGATTAATCAATGTTAATTAAATAAAAACGTTGTGCCTTCTTAGATCAATCTTGTTTCTTTTGTAGTCTTTTTTGATCTATTGAATTTCCTCGTTCATTATTTGGTTTGGGTAAGACTTAATTTTTAATTTTATAATTATGTTTATTATATGCTTTTGATTATAGAGAAACATGGAAAAATGTGAACGAATCCGTAGAATGAAACAGTGTGTTGCTGAAAGATTAGATCTACGACTCATTTTGGATGAATATTCATTTCTAATAATAAATGACATTGCACAAACAACTAATGTTTCAATAGATTATATATTTTTGACAACGATTGTTGCCATTTGTCATTGGACAATGGGAGCTTCATTAAAAGGTGCTCAAGCGTATAATACACCATTGATTCTTTTTGGCATTTTATGTGGAGGAAGTGGTATGTTTATAATCTTTGAAAGTAGTTAAAATGTAAAATTTAATATAATATTTCAGAAAAAAAATTTCATTAAATTATTTCATATTTTTGACTTATGATTTAAGAGTAAAGTGAAGAAAATTTTAAAGTTACTTTTCATGTATGAAAACAATTACATATATTTTTTCATTTAAAGAAAGAAATCGAATCAAATATCTTCGACAGTTATGATGATTTATGTTGTTTTTTTTTCTTAAGGATCAAAAAAAAGTGCACCTATAAGAATAGTAAAAGAAGCTTGTGAAGCTGTAGAAGCACTAGATGGTATTCCTGTAAAATATTCATCAATTAATGCATCAGTCAATATGGAATCGTTATGTTGTGAATTAGAGCAACAACCGAATTTATTACAAGTAAGTTATCATTTCTATTATTTAATATGACAAATGAAGTTCTTATAGTTGTGGGATGAGCTTGCGGTGTTTCTTGGTATTTTTGGAAGTACACGTATTGATCGAGCTGCATATGATCGTGGTCTGATGTGTGAATTATATAGTCCAACTGGTATAGTACGTCGACAGTTAGCTAGTAGACAAAATGTTATGATGAAACCACGTTTAAACATCGTAGCTGCTGGTCATCCAAAACGAACAATTGAATGTTTATCAGGTAAAATGCAAAAGCAATATATTATATTGTGTTATTTGTTTCAATTTTCATATAATAATATACGTACTTTTAGCATTTTTTTTCTTCAACTTACTGATATTTTTTTTTATAATTCAACCTATTAGGTGTTGGTTTGAAATGTCAAGACCAAAAAGATCAAAATGAAGATGGTTTATTTAATCGATTTATAATTGCTGTTGCATATAAGCATCGTCCTAATCGCGAAACTATTGAACCAAATAATAAGATACCAAAGCTTGCTCATTTATTTTATTTAACTAAAAAACTTCATCGTAATACAGAAGAATATATTTATGACGATGAAGGTAACTTTACTATTACAATAAAAACAAAACTATTCTCTTATATTGTTTAGCAAAAAAGTTTGTAAAAGACGTAATTTATAATTATGATATGTTTTCATCGGATAAATCCAATGAAGATGATTTTCTAGCAAGGTAATTGTTTTATTTATTTAGTTTTTTTTATTAATTCAATCTATTAAACTTATGTATTATAGTTGTTATCAAAAATCAATGGAGCGAGTTGAACGTTTATCACTCGCTCTGCATATTTTTAAAATATGTTCTCGTCGTTTATTTAATATGGTGGAACATGTTGAATCATTTGGTGTTCTCAATGCTCAATTTAAAACAATATGTACAGAACAAGAATTAAATGAAGGTGATCATGTAATTGATTATGACACGTGCTTTCGTGCTTCTCTATTAACCAAATTTTATCTTAACCAAACCAAAATACTTGCTGGTTATGATCCATTCACAGATCATATTTTAATAAATAAAAAATGTAAGATAATATACTTTACTACCTCTTGTATCGGTCTATGATGAATATTTTCATTAATTTTATACAAAACTCAAAAGATAAAAATAAAAGAATTAGTTTACAATTTATACTAATATGAATGTAGATTTGGCTCATAGATAGTAAAATACCAAAAAAACAAATATTTTGATAATAAAAAGAAACTATTTATTTAACAATACATTATATCTATAATTTGATATTATAGATACTATGGATGTACCTGAAAGTGAAGTAAAACATATAAAAAAATACATTGAAAATCATCCATCTGATCGTCTTCTTCTATCATCACTTCCAGCTAATTTGAAAAGAAAAATAAGTAAAGATCAATATTTAAATATACTTCGACAAATGGAAGAAGAAGGCAAAGGTAAAATTGAAGAAACAAACAATACAACAGGTACGAAAGCAATTGTGTTTATAAAAAAGAAAAAAATTGAACAACAACCAAATATAGCTTCAACAACAAATCAACAACAAACAAATAAAATTTCATTAGTAAATCATCAAGAAACAAATGAACCTTCATCAACAAACCGATCTGCTAATTGAACTCGTCATAAATATTACAATTTCTCTTTCTTTTTTATTTTTATTTTTATTATTTTTAATAGCAAATTTTTCATCTGAGATTAAATGCTTGAAACAAGTCATAACTTTTTTTTTTTATTTTAGATTTGAATGGATATTCATCAATCAGTAATACAAATGTACGAAGAATTAATAAATAATACTTCGAATGAAAGGTATGATCTTCGACTTATCTCATATACATATATACATATATATTTCCTTTTTAGTAATATTAAAATGTCACCAATAGTATCACTCGAACAAGATTTAAATGATCCTGTAGAAGATGCAGAATATGAAGAAGATAATAATTGTAATAGTGGTGTCAATGAAAATACTAATACTAATCGAAACAATGATAGTAATGGGAATAACGTAAATCATGAATATAATGAACATGGTGAAGTAACAGAGGATATTTTAGAAATTGTGGATATACCAACAAGTATGTAGTACATAAAAATAAATAAATAAATTAAAAAAGTCGTAAGACTGAGCATATATCCTAGAAAAAAAATAATAAGATCGTAATTGATCTAATTTTATTCAACGTTTTGAATCAATCTTTTATCTAAATATAGTATGACAACTTAATGATATTTAAATTATTAAATTTGTTGTGATCGGTTATAAAATTAAATATAAAAATATATTTCAGATTTATCGATTTTTCAAAAATTTAACGTTTGTTAATTTTCCATTTATAGGATAAGAGTCTGAATTCAATATTCATTGTAGGTAATGAATCAAATGTAATAAAAATTAATCAGATTAATATCGATATTGATTTTCCGTAAGTTGTTGACTTTCGAATTAACTATATTTTATGCACAATATTTTTGACATTCTTGTTATGAATCTAATATAATTTATGGTTCACTTGCTTTTTTTAATTAAAACATATCAAACAATTTGCGTTTCATTGAAATTTGATTTACATATGTTATTCTATAATTGT